AAAATCTTTAAAAAGTGTATTGTTTTTTAAAAGATTTTATTTATTTATTTTTAGACAGAGGGGAAGGGCAGGAGAAAGCAAGGGAGAGAAATACCAGTGTGTGGCTACCTCTCGAACACCCCCTACTGGGGACCTGGCCTGCAATTCCCAGGCATGTGCCCTGACTGGGAATTAAACCAGTGACCTTTTGGTTCACAGGCCAGTACTCAATCCACTGAATTATACCACCCAGGCCTGAAAACTGCATTATAATTTCCACAGCCATAGCCATAAGGGAGACTTTCCTCCTGATTCTAGCCTTGGGAACCCGATACAATTATTAGTCAAGGTTTCAAAGTAGCCTTTGACTGAGGTCTCCATTGCATCAGGTATTTGAAAACATACTTGGGAGCATGATAGTACATTTTAATCACCTTTGCATCCACTGTGGGGCTTACTTTCATGTGGCAGAACTCTTACTTGGTGCTTAATATATGTTTCCCTGAAAGACGCCAGTAACTCAAGTCCTATCAATTCCTTGTGTATATAAGATGTATTCTCACCCTGGCTGGTGTGGCTCAGTGGATTGAGTGCCAGCCTGCGAAGCAAAGGGTCGCCGGTTCAATTCCTGGTCAGGGCACATGCCTGGATTGTGGGTCAGGTCCCCAGTTGGGGGCATGTGAGCGGCAACCAATCAGTGTTTCTCTCCCTCTCTTTCTCTCTCACTTCCCTTCTCTCTGAAAATAAATAAATAAAATCTTTTGTAAAATATATTCTCTTTCTCTCCTGGCTCTCAGCCTGGTTCAATATGAAATTGACTTTGACAGTTCTCACCACGTAGGTGCTCATTAGATTTTCTCTGTGTCTGTATAGAATTTCCTAGTGACAGCCAATGTCCCGTTGCTTTAGAGATTACATCCAGCTCGGCCTAGTGGATTTGGTGGGGGGCAGGCTTACTGATGATCAGTGGCCCTACCCAGTGAATTCTTTGATTCAATTGTATCATTGAAAAACTACAGAACATAGACGAAAGGCATCGTTTAAACAACAAATCAATTAGCACACATCCTTATATATAGTCTTCAAAATTCACTGGTTAATTGTTTGCTTTTGTTCTGCTTTGAAAGTCAATCACATGAATACGGCAATAAAACTTTTTAAAGGTCTTGGTATTTCTGTGTGGGTCATTTTGTGGGTGATTTTCCCCTCTGAGTTTCTAGAGTTAATTGCCGGTTAATTGTGGTTATCATTGAGGGTAACAGGTAAGGGGAACATTTAATCTCTTTGAGGTTAATTAATGGTTAGTAATTATTACCCACATATATATGAAAGGTGGTGGTGTGGGATATTGGTGGAGAGAGGCAGAGAGGGGAAGGTTTGCTTGTAAAATCAGCTAATTAGAAAAGCTGCCTGAGAACTTGGCTCTAATGTATGATCTTGGCTGCCTAATAACTACTCCACCCACAGAGAAAGAATGGATAGAATGAGTTTCTTTTCCACAACAAGATGAATATAAACACTTCAAGATTTTTGCCTTAGGGAAAAGAACTAGAATTTAAATCACATGAGATTTGAAAACAGAGTCAGTAGAGACCCTGTTTTATGGGAATTGGTGTTTTCTTTTTTCCTAAAAGATTTTGTTTCTTTACTTTTAGAGAGAGGGGAAGGGAGGAAGAAAGAGAGGGAGAGGGACATCAATGTATGGTTGCTTCTCTCGCGCCTTCTTCTGGGAACCTGGCCTGCAACCCAGGCATGAACCCTGACTGGGAATCAAACCAGAGACCCTTTGGTTCACAGGCCAGCACTCAATCCACTGAGCCACACCAGCCAGAGCAGATTTGGTGTTTTCTTAATGATGGTGTTTTCAATAATAATGAAAATGGGTATTAATGACTTTAAAGGTGGGGAGAAAAGAAAAATAGCAAGTTTGATTTTTTTATCTTTGAGTATTGATACCCCAGTTTATGACTCACATTTACAAAAGGAGCCCAGGTGTAAGCTCCTATTAACTCGGAATAAACAACCTGTTAGGACAGGAAGGAAGAGAAGTTTGCTAGCCAGACAAGCCTGGATTCTACCATTCCATCACTTCTTAGTCAAATGGGACTTTCAGTTACTTAACGTCTCTAAGGTTTAGTTTTCTTTCATCTGTAAAATGTCGAAGATAAGAGTACCTATAACTCATAGAGCAATTTAAAATATTCAAAGAAAATACAGGACTGAGCACAATGCCTGGAATGTATGAGGTGTTCAATAAAGGATAATTCCTTTCCTTCTTCCCCTCCCTCATTTGGTTTAGATGCAGAATTTACTGTGACTGATGGTTTAAGAACTCCAGTGATGTTTCTTTCTTGGGTATGAGATTATCAGGGTCAACACCAAAAAGTGCAGAGTGGTGGCTGGGCCTTATCTGGCCCACATGGTATGAAGACTACAGAAAACAAAATGCCAAACAAATTTCAATTAATTGCCCTCATTAAAACTTTGACTGATCTCACCTAAGAGTCTGACTTGTGGCTCCTAAAATAACAAAGAGGTTAACCATTAAATGGCTACAATAAGCTGGAGCTGATGAACTGTTCCCTTTGGATAAGATGTTACTCATTTATTATAGATTGGCTTTCTGGAACCTGAAGGCATTTGAATTTGTGACCCCTGTAGATATTGTAACCTAGACATACATCTTGGGGACAAAGCAATCTGATTAAAAAATAAGCAGATGACCTGAATAGACATTTTTCCAAGGAGGACATACAGATAGCCAACAGATACATGAAAAGATGCTCAACATCACTAATCATCGGGGAAATGCAAATTAGAACCACAATGAGGGATTGCTTCACACCTGATAAAATGGCTATTACCAAAAAGAGAAGAAACTACGAGTGTTGGTGAGGATGTGGAGAAAAGGGAACTGTCATGCACCGTTGGTAGGGATATAAACTGGTGCAGCCACGATGGAAAACAGTATGGACTTTTCTCAAAAAAATTAAAACTCAAAAAGTCATCTACACATTCATGTTCATTGTCACATTATTTACAATAGCTAAAACATGAGAGCAACCTGTGTCCCTCAATGGATGAATGGATAAAGAATGAATAAACAATTAGCTTATACCCTTTCTCATATATAGTATTTAAAAGTCGGTGGTAAATTGTTTCATTTTGCTTTTTGAAAGTCAATATCATGAATAAGGTTATAAAGGTTTTTAAATTTCTGAGTATTTCAGTCTGGGTCATTTTGAGGGTAATTTTGGGAGTATATACATATAAATACTACTCATTCACAAGAAGGAAATTTGCCATTTGTGACAACATGGATGGATCTGTAGTGTATTATGCTAAGTGGAATAAACCAGAGAAAGATAAATGCTGTATGACCTCATTTACATTTATAATGTTAAAAACCCTAAAATTATAGATGCAGAGAACAAATCATTAGTTGTCAGAGGTGGGAGAAAGGCAAAATGAGTAAAGGTGGTCAAAGGATACAAACTTCCAATTATAAAATAATTAGGTCCTGCTGATGTAATGTACAACATGGAGACTACAATTAATAATACTGTGTTCAGCCACAATAAAATAAAAATAATAATACTGTGTTATATATTTGGAAGTTGTTAAGATGGTAGATCTTAAAACTTCTCATCGCAATAAAATATATCCATAGAAAATTCTCGTACGTGTTTTACAAGCTTTGATATCAGAAACACTGCAGGCATGTCCCAGGGATGGAGCTATTATTGCGGATTGTCACCAAACATAGTAATTATTATCAGGGTAGAATTGATAAGGGACATAAAATGCTTATGTAGCTTCTTTTTAAATCCTGACTCCAGGATAAATTTATTGATTTTAGAAAGAAAGGAAGGGAGAGGGAAAGAGAGAGAGAGAAACAGTGATTGATCGCCTCCCATATGTGCCCTGACTACGGATCTAACCCACAACCCAAGCATGCGCTCTGGCTGGGGATTGAACCCACAACCTTTTGATGTACTGGACAATGCTCCAACCAACTGAGACACTTAGCCAGGGTGGTAGCTTGCTTCTCAAGTTAAAGTTCCCTCACAATATAGCTCTTCAGATTTTGTATCAGCTCACAATCTCCAATTTACCTTCTGTATAATGTGACAAATCAATAGTTAAGCTGACATTAACTATCTCCCCACGAACATTTCTAACTAATTTAATGAGAGAGAAGGTCAGAGAGGGAAGAGATAGGGAGGAAGAGAAGGCAGGGACAGAGGGAGTGGTGGGGTGCCATTGGAATTGTGCCTTTAATGTATCTTGAGGAGGTTTAATACATCTGTGATGTTTTAGATATCTACCTCACACAAGGCTCATGCTGGTGGTGGTGTGGGGTTAGACACTGTACATGACATAAAGGAGGATTCAGGTGAGTAGAGCGGATGTTCCAGTTATGCTGCTTACTAAATGTGAAGCATCCCAATGTGAATAATTATTTTTGAGCTGTAGTAATTCTGAGCATTGCTTCTGCTTAGAGGAAGGAAGAACACTTCAGATCCCACTTTTCTTATAATTTGCTCATTTCACACAAAGAAACTTTACTGTACAAATTCCATTTCTCGGGTTACTAATATTTTAATAGATAAATAGAACCATGTGGTAACCAAGAAGAATCCTCACCTTCCTACAAATACCCATCTAAAGTTTTTTCCTGTGACACTGATTCATGCATCTGTTCAAGCAGGAAAATTTCTTCTAATTCTTTGCTTAAGCTAAATAATCAGAAGGGTGAAATCAAACATGAAGTAAGGATATCAATCTGTGTTTAGCGAGCATGGAAATAAAAGATGGATTTTGCCTTTGCAATCAATTCCCACCATAAATAATTTCATGTGGTAACATGACCTACTGTGAAACCAGGTCTAAACATGAGAAAGATATTGGCATGCCAGCCAGCTAAGACAGTGCATTACTTGAACTAAACCATAGTTAAGTAACTTTAAGTTTTTGTTAATATCCAGTCTTATCTAACTTTTTTTTCTCCTTCACTACAGGAATCCTGGCCGATTTAGTGCTTTTACAAATCGAGATCATATGAAAGATTTCCGAAGGTACCTGGCATTCAAATATATCCAGTATCTAGTCCTACCTTCTACAAACATCATCGTCACTCTGTTGGGGCTGTTTGCCAGTCTGTATGTCACATTGATACTGATGTCACCTGCCGTATCCAGAAAGTCCACTGCAGTGTTTATTTCTAACATAGCTCAGGCAGACATGTTAGTTGTTGGAAGCATCTTTTCTGCCATGATTCAACATGTGGTAAAGAGTAACGTATTACTGTCTTCCTTTCAGTCAACTTTAAGGCAGAATTTCCAGATTGCAAATATACATATCAGTTCACTTTTACTCAGCTGCGTAAGCCTCGAGGCCTTTCTGATCACTTTCCTTCCAGCAGAAACACGCCACATAAGAACAGTTAGAAGTGCCAGGGTGGTTTCTAAGATAATCTGGATTACTGTAATTACTGAGTGTTTTTTTTATCAGATGGAGTGCATCAAAGAACTTGGCATCTCTTCTCTTGGCATTGATAAGAATATTATGTTGTTGTTAAATTTCTGTTTTGGAGCCACAAAGCTACTGAAATCATTCATTTACCCAATTGGACTACTTTTAAGGATCTTTAATGTGTATCTTTTTTATAAAATATATTTCAGTGCTTTACCTCGAAACAGTCTGTAATAGTTGATTGTATATATCAGCTTGACTACACTATGGTGCCCAGTTCTTTAGTCAGACACTAATTTAGATGTTGCTATGAAGATATTTTGCAGATGCGTTATGCATATATGATTAGCTGCCTTTAAGTGAAAGAAATCACCCTTAATAATATTGGTGGGCCTCATCTAATCAGTCGAAGCTCTTATGGAAAAACAACTGAGGTTTCACAGTTAAGAAGAAATTCTGCCTCAAGACTGGTAACATAGAAATCTTGTTTGAATTTCCACGCGGGTCATCTGCCTTACAGATTTTAGAATCAAGACTCCATCACCAATTCTTGTCTGAAACTTCTGTCTGCTTTACAAAATTTGGACTTTCTAGACCCCACAATCATGTGAGTCAGTTACTTAAAGAATAAACATGAAAAAATACATATCCTATTGGTTTTGTTTCTCTGGAGAACCCTGACCAATACTGATTTTTTTACTGAGTCATTCTGGAACAGAAAAGTGAGGACTGACAACCAAGACTACTTTACCCAAAAAGGGTATCATTTAAATTACAGGAGAAAGAACTTACCAAACAAGCATAACGTAAGTGAATTTATTGTCTCTAAACTACTCTTACAGCAAATGTTAAAGTGACTCATTCAAGAAGAAGAAAGAAAGAAAAGAGAGGAACATAGGTATAAATAACAAAATGGCACCCTGGCTGGTGTAGGTCAGTGGATTGAGCGTGGGCCTGTGAACTAAGGGATCACAGTTTGATTCCCAGTCAGGGCACATGCTTGGGTTGCAGGCCAGTTCCCAACAGGGGACCCATGAGAGGCAACCATACATTGATATTTCTCTCCCTCTCTCCTTCCCTTCCCCTCTAAAGATAAATAAATAAAGTCTTAAAAAAAGATAAATGAATAAACTCTTTGAAAAAAAACAAAATGGTAATAATTAAGTACCTATTAATAATTATTAAAAAAATAAATGGGTCAAATACTCCATTGAAAAAATGTAGAGTAGTTGAATGGATAAGAAAATAAGAGCCACATATATGCTGCCTACAAAAGGCCCACCTCAGAACAAAAGGTACACACACACTGAAAGTAAAGGGATGGAAAAAAGAGAGTTCATGCCAATGGAAAAAAAAGATAAGAAAAAAAGTAAGCTGCAGTAGCAATACTTGTGTCAAACAAAATAGACTTCAAAACAAAGTCCATAACAAAAGACGAAGAAAGACATTACATAATGATGAAGGGATCAATCCAAGTAGAGGGCATAACCCTTGTAAACATATGTGTACCCAGCAGCAATGACAAAAACAGGTAAATATATTTAAAAAGTCTTGGTGGACATATAGGAGAAGCTGATAGCAATGCAGTCTAAGTAGAGAATTTTACCACTCCTTTGACATCAATGGATAGGTCTTCCATTTAAAAAAATCAACAAGGAATCAGCAGCCTATATAATACATTAGACTATATGGTTCTAAATGATATTTACGGAGCATTTCACCTCAAAGCACAGAATATACATTTTTTAAGTGCACATGGAACATTCTGAGAATAAACCACATCTTGAGAGATAGTTAAACTAGTCCTGATAAATTCAAGAAGATTGAAATCATATCAGACATCTTCTCCAACCACAATGTCCTGAAAGTAGAAATCAATTACAAAGAAAAACCTGAAAAATACACAGATGTGGAGGCTAAATGACATGTTACTAAACAATGAATAGGTCAACAATGAGATTAAGGAACAACTAAAAAGTTTTATTGAGATAAAATGAACACAAAACTTCAAATCTATTTGATACAGTGAAAGCCATCTGGAGAGGAAAATTCATAGCAATATAGACATACTTCAAGAAGCAAGAAAAATCACAAATAAACAATTTAACTTTATACATAAAAGAATTAGAAAAAGGCTCTGACCAATGTGGCTCAGTTGGTTGGGCATCATTCCACAGATTGAGGGGCACATGCCAGGGTTGTGGGCTCAGTCCCCTAATGGGGTGTGTAAGAGGAGCAACAGATCAATGTATCTCTCCCTCACTTTCTGCCTTCTTCTCTCTCTAAAAATAAAATCTTGAAACAGGACAACAAACAAAGCACTGAGTGAGTAGAAGAAAGGAAATAAAGATCAAAGCAGAAATAAATAAATTAGAGTCTAAAAAAGTAATACAAGAGATCAAAGAAACCATGAGATGGTTCTTTGAAAAGGTAAACAAAATTGACAAACATTTAATTAGATGTATCAGAATAAAAAAGTGAGGATTCAGATGAGTAAAATCAGAAACGAAAGACTAGAAATAACAATGGACACCACAGAAACACAAAGGATTGTAAGAAAATGTTATGAACAAGTTTTTGCCAGCAAATTGAAGTGTCTGAATGAAATGAGTAAGTTCCTAGAAACACACAATTCTCCAAAATTGAATCTCCTTCAGCAATGAAAGCAAAACAAAAATTAAACAATTAGATCACATCTAATAAAAGGTATTTGCACAGCAAAAGAAACCCAAAACAAAATGAAAAGGGAACCCACTGAATGGGAAAACATATTCACCAATGATACATCTGAAAAGGGCTTTATAATATCCAAAATATTAAAGGACACAGCTCAACACTAAAACAAATAATCTAATTAAAAATTGGGCAAAGGATCTGAATAGATACTTTTCTAAAGAGGACACACAAATGGCCAACTGACATATGAAGAAATGCTCAATGTTACTATTCATCAGAGAGATGGAAATTAAAACCACAATGAGATTTTTACCTCCCACCTGCCAAAATGGCCATCATTAATAAGTCAACAAACAGATCTCCTGACAACTGTTAGAGAGGTGGAGGTTTGAGAGAGTTGGTGAAAGGGGTGGAAGGATTAAGAAAAAAGACTCATAGATATAGAAAAACAGTGTGCCAATTACCAGAGGAGAAGTAGGATGGGAATAGATAGAAGCAGGTAAAGGTGGGATAAATGGTGATGGAAGGAGACTAGACTTTGTATGATGAACTCACAATACAACGTGCAGATAATATATTGTAAAATTGTGCACTTGAAACCTATATAATTTTTCACCTATGTAACCCCAATAAATTCAACAAAAACTTATTAAAAAAGGAATTTCTGCCTACACAGTTCAAATTCAGAGGTTGAAAGTCTAACCCCCAAAGATGATGGTATTAGGAGGCAGGCCCTTTTGGAGGTGTTTAGGTAGCAGGGGCGTAGGCTTTGTGCATGATTAGTGTTCTAATAAAAGAGACCCACACAGTCCCTAGCCCCTTCTGCCCTCTGAGGATAAATTGAATTTCCCAAGGCAAAAGGTGAGAGATTCTTAAAAGCAACAAAAAAAATGGAGGCAGTTAACTACAAATGAGTTCCCATAAGACTATTAGCTGCTTTCTCAAAACAAACCTTACAGGCAAGAAGGGGCTGGTAAGAAGTATTCCAAGTCATGAAAGGCAAAGACCTACACCCAAGAACACTCCACCCAGAAAAGCTATCATTTAGAATGGGAGGGCAGATAAAGTGCTTCCCAGATAAGGTCAAGTTAAAGGAGTTCATCATTACCAAGCCTTTATTACATGAAATGTTAAAGGGACTTATTTAAGAGAAAGAAGATCAAAACTATGAACAGTAAAATGACAACAATCACAACTGTCAAGAACTGAACCTAAAAAAACCCCAAACGAACTAATCAGACAACTAGAACAGGAACAGAATCACAGAAATGGAGATCACATGGAGGGTTAGCAACAGGGGAGTGGGGGGGGATAATGGAGTAAAAGGTACAGAGAATAAGAAGCATAATAGGTAGGCACAAAATAAAGAGGGGGATGTTAAGAATAGTATGGGAAATAGAGAAGCCAAAGAACTTATATGTACAACCCATGGACATGAAGTAAGGGAGGGCAATGCTGAAGGGTGAGGAGGGTACAGGGGGATAAAGGGGAGAAAAAAATTGGGATAACTGTAATAGCATAATCAATAAAATATCCTTAAAAGAGAAACTGGGTCTCTCAGGACAGTCCATTTGAGAGGCCCAATTGATTACCGTGACTTTATAGTAACTCTGAAAGATGGGTAGTGTTAGTCCTCCAATTTTGTTCTTATTGTAGTGGCAAACCTTGGTCTTTTGCTTCTATACATAAAATTTAGAATCAGTTTGTTAATAAGTTGCTAGAATTTTTATTGGGCTTTCATTTAATCTACTATTACATTTAGGAAAAACTGACATGGTGATAATATTAAGTCTTCTTAACCAGGAACATGTACTTTCTGTGCATTTATTTAGTTATTCTTTGATTTCTTTAATCAGCTGTGTGGTTGTCCTCATCTAGATCCTGTAAATATTTGGTTAGATTTATACCTGTATTTTTAGCTTTATACCTATTTTATTTTTGCATATTAATGTAAATGGTATTATGCTTCACATTTCATATTCTACTTGTTATTTGCTGAAATATTGGAAAGCAGTTGACTCTTGTATATTAAACTTGTAATTACAACTTTGATATACTTGCTTTATTAGATCCAAGAGTTTTTTGTTGAGTCTTTAAAATTTTATACATAGGCAATCATTTCACATGTGAAGAAGTTTTACTTCTTTTTCATTTTATATATTTTTATTTTTATTTCTTGTCTTATTGCATAGTGAGGAGTTACAGTATGATGTTGAAAAAGACATTCTTGCCTTGTTCCTGACAATCATGAAAAAGTTTCTAGTTTCTTACCATTAATTATAATAAGAGCTATTTTTATAAATATTTTATCAAGTATAGGAAGTTTTCCTCAATTATTAATTTTCTGAGTGCTTCCATTATGAAGAAGTGTTGAGTCCTGGCTGGTGTGGCTCAGTGGATTGAGTCCTGGATTGTGGAGCGAAGGGTTACCAGTTCGATTCCCAGTCAGGGCACATGCCTGGGTTGTGGGCTGGGTCCCTGGTTGGGAGCACACAAGAGGCAACCACACATTAATGTTTCTCTCCCTCTCTTTCTCCTCTCCCTTACCCTTTCTCTAAAAATAAAATAAAATAAAATCTAAAAAAAAGAAGTATTGAAGTTTGTCAAGTGCTTTCTTTGTATCACTTGATATAATCATGCAGTTTTTTCTCATTGGCTTGTTAATATGATGATTACATTGATTTTCAAATGTTGACCCAGTGTTACGTACTTGTAATAAATCCCACTTGGTTGTGGTGTATAACTCTCTGAAGAACTTCTTTTAACATCTCTAAGGAGGCAGTTCTACTGGCAATAAATACTGACAACATTTTTCCCCCCTGGGATAATCTTATTTCATTTTCAGTGATAATTTCACAGGGAATAGATATCTAGGTTGTGTTTAGTCTCAACATCTTAAATATTTCTCCCCAGTCTCTTCTTGTTTGCATTATTTCTCTGGAAAAGTCATATGTAATTCTTGCCTTTGCTATTGTATAGCAAGTCAATTTTTCTTCTGGCTTGTTTCAAGATTTTTTACCTATCTTTGATTTTCTTTTTCAGTTTGAGTATGGCACTCCTAGATGTATTTATTTTGGCATTGATTCTACTTGGTGTTTTCTGAGCTTTTTGGATTTTTTTTTTGGTGTCTGATAATAGCTGAGGGAAAATTTCAGGTATTATTGCTTTTAATATTTCTGTTCCTTTCTTCTTAGTTCTCTAAAGGATTTCTTGTGAGCAAAATTAGCAGTTAAGCAAATTCATGGACAGCAAGTCTTATATTTTTATCCCCCAAATGAAATTATTGTTGCTACTTCATAGGGATATTCTTTTTTTTTAAAATTTATTTAGTTATAGCCCTGGCTGGTGTAACTCAGTGGATTGAGCATGGGCCTGCAAACCAGACAATCGCGGTTCGATTCC